TTAGGGTTAGGTTTGGGGGGGGTAGGGGAAGGTTTTCGCGTTATTTTTAAGTTTCCCGCTCACAGCGTGCTGTTTTCGTCGCGCTGTGATGTCACGTACGCGCTTTCGTCGAGCGCGCTTTAGTCTACCGCGGTTTTGTGGTGGAACCTAGTTAGTTTGTCCATTTCAGCACAATCCATAACCTTTCTTATTATTTTAGTATCTTACGGAAGAAGGGCGGAAAAATTACAGATCCGAAGCCCTCCCCCCCTCCCCTTTTGCTTCCTGCCTTTCCGAAGATAACCTGCGCGGTGGCGTAATGTAGAAGAGAGCAAAATCACCCCTGAGGAATGCGTAATCTGACCCAGCATGTCTCGGAAACCAAAATCAGGAATGTGCTATTTGACCCAGCATGTTTTCAGAAAAAAAAAAACAATGAAATGGCCGCTTTACCTGCAGCTTTACCAGGTGAACTCTCCACACCTGGAAAGCAGTTGCACAGAACAATCGTTTGATACCGATGTCTCTTCCTGGGGGGGATTCTGCCCGATTCAGAGATCCCTCGTCTTGCCCCGTGGATTGCTGGCGGGCACGTTTTGACGGGAGTTTCGCGGCGCCCGCAAACTTGCAATTATCCGCTTTCAGACTTTTAATTTTCTCTGCCTCTCTCAGTTCATTTTTGAGCAGGATCGCGAGAGCTGAGCTGTCACATCTCTCTGTTTTTTTTTTTTAGGGTTCAAAATGCTTTTCTTTCCCTTTTTGGGGGGGGCGGGGGGGACGGGCTCGGTCTTTGGACCCCCCCCCTCGAGAACTACCCATAAAGGTGGCTTTAAATGTGGGAGAAAACAAGGGTTTCGGCAGGTGAAAGTAATTCCGGTGATGTCAATCCTGATAACTTTTCTCCTTTGCTTGTTCCCCCCCTCCCCTCCCCGCAGACGCTTTACTGGCTGACCTGGAATCCACGACCTCCCATATCTCCAAGCGTCCGGTGTTCCTGTCGGAGGAGACCTCGTATTCCTACCCAACTGGAAATCACACCTATCAGGAAGTCCCGCTGCCTCCTCCGGTCCCCCCTCCGCCTTCCACCGAGGCCTTAAACGGGACAGTCAACATCTCTTTAGAGCAATGGAATCCTGTCCTTCCGAGAAATCCTCAACCGCAGGTATTTCGTTTGCTAAGTCTTAACTTTCCATACCCTGAGAAGTTATTTTATTATTTGGTCACCACGATGTAGAAAAGATGTGGAGACTCTAGAAAGAGTGCAGGGAAGAGCAACAAAGAGGATTAGGGGGCTGGAGGCTGAAACATAGGAAGAACGGTTGCAGGAACTGGGNAAAAAAAATTCTTTCTGTTTAATTAAAACAATAAAAAAATTCTCAAAAAGAAATGCAAGTAGAAAAATAGGAGCCACTTTTGGTGGGAAGGGAACAGCGTTCCGTGCGCCTTTGGCATTGAATTATGCCAGCCACATGACCACAGAGACGTCCTCGGACGGCGCTGGCTCTTCGGCTTTGGAACGGAGACAAGCAGCGCCCCCTAGAGTCGGGAACGACTAGCACATGTGTTCGAGGGGAACCTTTCACCCTAGAAATTAATTTAGAAGTTAGACATTAATTAATCTCATGCCTGCTGGGACCTTTTGTCTTGCAAGCTGCCTTGTTTGTGAATATTGCATATTTTGCTATAATTTTCTTGACTGGAGGCAGCTAACTAACTGGAGGGCCTGGTGAGAGAGCTAAAAGCCAGAATTTCCCTTTCCGCCAATTCTTTTGTTCAGGCAGGGAGAAAAGGAAGTGGAGGAAAATCATGCCAGGGTTAAAACCTGCCCCTTTGTGTGTGTGTGTGTGTGTGTGTGTGTGTATGTGTGTTGCCTGTACTCTGAACAAACAGCTTTACAATTAACCTAACCAGCTAGGAACGCCGTTGTCTGCACCGAGTGGAATGTAAAAATGAATAATTACGGCTGAATTATTATTATTATTATTATTAGAAAAAGAAGCTTTCAGATTTAAAAGAGGGAGATAGATAAGAGTAACAAAGTTGGAAGGGACCTTGGAGGTCTTCTAGTCCAACCCCCTTCTTAGGCAACAAACTCTCCACCATTTCAGACCAATCTCTTCTTAAAAACTTCCAGTGTTGGAGCATTTACAAGTTGTTCCACTGATTAATTCAATATTATTATTATTATTATCGCAACAACAGAATTGTATCACAGCGGCCAGTTGTTTCTCCGGATTTGGCATTGGTTACTAGTCAGGCCCCACCCAGGGACCTAGGACGTCGTAACGTATTTTCGTAATATGCGTGCGGATCCAAGCAGTGCGGCTTTTTGCATTTGACTGATGGTG